TTTCAATCAAAATCTCGTCCTCCCCATACGAAATTTCACTCTCTATGATTCACGCCGGGGGGAGGGCCTAGGAAAAATTTTTTGAGCCGGGGGGAGGGCCTAGGAAAAAATTTTTGGACCTGGGGGGAGGGCCTAGGAAACATTTTTTTGACCTGGGGGTAGGGCCTAGGAAAATTTTTTTTACGCTACCCCCGGACGACCGGTCCCCCCTCCCCGGTAAATATTGTACATTCCCTAGTATCATTGGGAATGATACATTCACAGAGAAGTCTTAAATTCGAATTACACTCAGGATTACAAAGCTATGATGTTAACTTAGGTTGAAAAGGTTACAGTATGGATTCTTGTGTATTTGCAGAAATTACTGCCGAACTGAATTACAGAACAAAATTTGACTCAGAATATGAGACTCTTTTTACACAAACGAAGTTGTTTTATTCTGCAATTCTAAAGCGCAACCTACGTAATGATTGTAAGTTTTGGCCCCGCCAGTGGTATTCCGTAATCTTACAGAAAAATTAGATTTCTTCACTTTTGCAAACAGTCTGGGGTTCCAAACAATGTGAGCTATCAGTCAAGTTAACTTAATGGCTGAAGTGAACGACGAGGCACCTCCAGGCTACAGACAGGTAGGTGGTGAGTTTTGCATACTTGATTAGCGAGAGTCGAGGTTGTCGGGCAGCTTTCTGGGCGTGGACGTTTTGAGCGGCGACCAGAGAAGTACAGAACCCATGACGGTCCCAACGAAGACTTCAGAAAAAGGTCTGTCACGTTTTAAGTCACAATGTAAAGTCACAATATAACATGATAGTGTGCTGTAGTGGTTCTAAGGGATCATTCTTCTGGACATGGGGGTCAAGAATTTGAATCCTGTCCTCTCGTGGCTTGCCCGCCACTTGTTGGCTCTGAGGACAAAATGTCTCTGCGCGTTGTGTTTGTCCAAAAGAGCAGACTTTTTTTCAGCACATGCCGTATATGCTGTACGTATAATTTATATATACTCACATAGCATTGACTGCTCTTTACTCGGAGCAGAGCAGAGAATATCTTGTTCTGTTGTTAAAGCTTAACTGAGCTGAGATTATCGTCACTGTGTTCCATTTTTCACCCATTGCCAACCTAATGGGTTTAAGTTAATAATAATTCTATGGGACTAAGTGATAGCCAAGAGTTGTCCTCTCCCCAGTATGTACAGTTTAAATACTCATTATAAACGTTAAGTTGAAATACTTAAATGTTAAACTTGGGACTGGTAATGTTCCTCCTAAAAGGTAAGCATAAAAGAAGAAAACGCTTTGTGGGCCAGTCACATTCGTCGTGCGACAGGTTTACAACAGTACAGCAGTGGACAGCAGTGGACAGCGGTGGATGCCATGGTCGTACCAAAAATAAGCTGTTTTGAAATATATGGAGCTGTAGTCATTTGAACAAGAAAACTTTAATTTACTTTTTATAGCTTAGTACAAACACCCTACTTGAGGCCCCATGTGTTTTGCTGAAATGGGCGCAACTCAAATCACTTTAAGGTCAAATATTTTGCAGTAATTACAGTTGAACACTGTCTGCTTTAGACAAGGCTTTGCGATGAAAACAGTTTATAACATTGAAAATTTGCTCTTCCTGTGAACAGAAAGCAAATCTGATTAATGTATCTTAATATAATATTAGCTGCTGCCTTTTGGAAACCCTCAAATTGGCTATAATCAGGGCCTTTTGGACTGGGGATAAATCATCAAGTGTCAGCTGACAAGTGGGGCCAGTACAGTGCAGTTCACGGGATATGCATCAAATCCAACAAGATTTGTCAACATATCCTGCGTGATTTTGCGGGATATCCTGCGGGATTTTGCGGGATATCCCGCAGAACGCTAATCCTCTCCCGTAACACAATCTTCGGTGTAAAACTAAAGTTTTCCACATTTCTAGATAGATTTTTACGGACAGATGGTGCAGCCCATGTTTGAGTCTAATGTGTGGAAAGTTAGTGTAGGTTATTCTGCTATGTTTTGAGAGTTGACTGTTCAATATAAAAAAAAAATATCTACCGTGCAAATAAGGCTAGGGCCGAACCATCCTTGCCTGGACTTTGGGCCTGTCTTTGCAGGCAAAATGGACCCTCTACAAATGTATAATGGCTAACAAACTCCCATGGCCAGCTACATTTTTTAGACCAATTTCTACTATTTAGTCAGCCTGCAAAAGAGTCTGGATGGGTGGAGACTTAAGTTACATGTAGTGCTAAACACGTTCAAGTTTCGAATCTACAAATCTCTAGCTTTGATGCAAAACTTTAGCCGCCTTAATATGTGGTTGAGTTTCAGTGCATGATGCATTGTAAAGCTTCAGAATGATGTAGAATTTACCATATAATATAGAGCACGATATGTAAAAAGAGTCCTCAATTTAGTGTAGATTCGCTCTGACCATGGGCTAATCTAAATAGTATTCAATTTACATTTTACTGAATGATATAAGGCAAGAATTAGACAGAATTAGCTTCACATGTGTGTGTGTGTGTGTGTGTGTATGTGTGTGTGTACTGTACATGTATGTGTGCGTGCGTGTGTACTGTATTGTGTGTGCGTGCGTGCATGTGTGTGTGTGTAATGGTGTGTGTGTACTGTATGTGTGTGTGTACTGTATTGTGTGTGTGTTATAATGTGTGGGTGTGTGTACTGTATGTGTGCGCGTGTGTATTGTATTGTGTGTGTGTTATAATTGTGTGTGTGTACTGTATGTGCGCGTGTGTGTATTGTATTGTGTGTGCGTGCCTGCAAGTGTGTATGTGTATGTGTGTGTGTGTATGTGTGTGTGTGTGTAAAGGTGTGTGTGTATGTGTGCGTGTGTGTGTCTGTACTTGCGAGTGTGTGTCTGTGTATGTGCGTGGATGTGTGTGTGTGCGCATTTTTTTTGCGTGCGTGTGTGTTACTGTGTGTGTGTGTCTGTGTCTAAATATAGGTGTGTGTGTGTGTGTGTGTGCGCGCGTGCATGTGTGTGTGCGCGTATGATGCTGTGTGTGTGGTGTGCGCGCGTGCATGTGTATGTGCGCGCGCATGTGTGCGTGTGTGCATGTGTGTGTGTATGTGTGCACGCATGTGTGTGTGCATGTTTGTGTTGCACGTGTGCTTCTGTGCACATTTTTGTACTGTCCCTGTCCACCTCCAAATTCCAATGGTTGAATGTCAATCCTTTGGTTTGACTTTTTTCTCCAGGATTGCTACATGCTTGACTTCTGCTGCCAGACAAGACAGGAATAGTAGACGTCAAACATGGCTGCCCAAGGTAACTACCTGTTAGAAGAAGTAAACATTGGAGCACACATTGTTTGATAATTGATACAATATATGCAAGCCTGGACCCAAATATTCTTCCTCTTGGTGATCTATTTGGCACTTGTAACATGTGCTTTATTCTTACTAACTTAAAGTTACTTACTTTACTTTGGTCGAGCTCCCACTCGAACAACTTGATTATTACTTATTCTTCTTTAATGATGATTATGCTATAAACATCATAAGTTAGAATTACCTTTCGGTGATGGAGAGGACTCAAAAATAGTCTTGACTTAAAGATCATATTGAACAACATATTGGTCACAAAATCAGTTTGTCTTTAATTTACATTTTCATTTTCAACTGCACACATGAGAAACCCTAAAGACATGTAACTGCCACCAATTTTGGATACTGTACACTGTAGGTAATCTTTTACAAATTGTAGTGGCCGTTTCACCTTAAAATAGATTAAAATTAATTTGTACTTTTTCACCATCTCATTAACTTCACCAGACAAAAGTGCCTTGTGTGAAATACATGCGGTCTGCCATTAATGTGGGAAAAATATTGAATGGCCCCTTTGCAAATATGTTATTAAAAGTGTTCAGAATGACCCCCCCCCCCTGGGCCTCCTTGGAAATCAGCTATTGGCTAAAGGAGCTACCCAAGTGTCATAGAAGATTAAATAAATAAAGACTCATTGAATCAGTTCAAACATCCAACTCAGAGGAAATGTCCCTTCAAAAGTGCTCTCTTCTCTCCACTGAGTAGAAACTGTTTAGAGAGGTTGTTGGAGTTTTTATATATTAGGCCATGTTGATTTGATTAAAGTATATGGATGACATCCGCGCGCGCATGAATTTTCGGGCGCATGAATTTTCGGCCGTTTCCAAAAAAAAAAGTTTTCAACCATACTGTAAATCGTACAAAACAGTTGCAAAATGAGCAAAAATATACCATAAGTTACAAAAAGAAATAAATAAAAACTATACCAATGTCGTAGAATGCCAAAATCAAACGAAAACAGACGAAATTGTAAAGAAATGAACTTGAAGACTAGATTATTCGCCAAACCATATTCTGTGCCATTTGCTCAACCCTCATGACCACGTAGATTTCATAATGAAAACTTTTTTTTTTGCAAAACTTTTTTTTTATTCGCACACGCGCATCAGTTTTGGGGCTCCCGGAGGATGTCATCCATATAATCAAATCAACATGGCCTTAAGTGGTAAAATAAGCAGTTTTGCTTTGGATTGTGGAAGAATATTATATATATTCATTTCACAATTATAATGACAGTTGATATGGTTGATCCGGTTCCAGTTGATTGGAAGAGATACTTCAGGACAGTCATCACCAAAGTGCCACATAGGTGGGAAGACTTGGCCGAAGAACTTGGGTTTGAGCGAGGCGAGAGAAGTGCAATCGGCTTAGACAAGCATGACTCCAGTCACAGGTGCAAAGAAGTGCTTGAAAGGTGGAGGGCAAAAAAAGGAAAGGAAGCAACTCTACAAGTTTTGAAGCAAGCCCTCATCGATATCGGTGAACGGCTAACAGCAGAGAGCTTAGGAGGTGAGTCTGTACTCTAGAAATGGGGGGAGGACAATGTCCTATTCTAAACCCACATAAACCACATCTCACAACACAGGTGTGTTTTTTAATCTGAGCGCCACGCTCTCTCTTACAGTATAATTGACAATGACACTTTTTTATCCATGACAGGTGAGGGTATCGGGACAAACAGCTCCACCCCCGAAATACGTCACACGGACTCAGGAATGAAAGGTGCGAATACTTCTTTGTGTCCCTAACTGTAGCTAACAGCTGCTTTTAAATAGTTTAAAAAGGTCAACAAACATCTGTCCTCACAGTCTAGTAGTAGTACAGTAACCTAAAACATTTGAGTGGCTCTTATGAGCCTAAATGTGGTGAATATGAAGCAAATAAAAAAAGAGGTATTACTTAGTCTATCCACTTCCTATTCAATGTACTCTTATGGATTATGGAGTTATTGCTGTATTAACGAATTTTGCCTGTTTATAACCTTCTCTACCTCAGAACCTCCTGGACCCACGTCAGCCCTAGGCCCAGGTGGGGGTTAGTAGAAAAAACATTCTCCATTTTACCTGCTGTCACTGCAGACAGCAATTATCCAGATTGATCACTTCCGTGTTACTGGCATTTCATCCTTACATGCCGCTCTTCGTAAGATGTAAACTTAAGATACCATTTCTCTCGAGGGAGAGGGGTCCTTTAATGATTGCTGATATGGTTTTAGTATTAGGCGTAGAGGAAATTTAATTACACAAGGAAATAATTCCTGATCTATGGTGATAAGGAAGATTCATTTTACAATATTGAGACTTCTGATGAGATTGTGTAATGGGCTATAATCCTGGAATGATTTAAAAAAAAAACTTAATCACATCATGACCACAAGGGCACATAGAGTTCCTGACGCTATCACTCCAGTGAAACTCCTCAAATGACTGTCTCAATTCCCTAGTGTGGAATCGACACAAACACACTATCAATCTATCCAACTATCAATCAACAGGACCAAAAACAATGATTGAAAATTTCATCTTTCCATGCTAGTTGACATGGGGGGCTATTTTTGAGTCATCAATAATTATTTCAATAAGGAGGGAGAGATGTGTCATTAACATGCAGGAGGTAATTTTGTATTTTGACCTCCGATTTTTGTTAATATTGTGTAGCAGCACAGCCCATTGGAAGTGCAGAGACTTTATACAGTCGTCCAATGTCCAAGACACATGGAAGCAGCACTGATCATCCTGAGAGCAGTCTACTTGAAGGTACATGTATATCATATTTATTTTCAATACATGCCTTAAGATGTATAGGGGTTTTTCTGAACAGGGGAACAGGGGCGCTGCGCCCTCATGTAACAAACCAGCGCCCTCATATCAATTTTCAGATTGAAGCCTAAGTCTTTTTCAAAATTATCTTTTTCCAGTAAAAATACAAAAACAACACCACATAACAATGTATTCTAGCATTACAAACTACGTTACTCTCATAAAAAGTCCAAAATCTTACCATAAACATGAAAATTTAGCTCTAGTAGTAAAAGTTTGAATGGAATAAACAATGTTCATTGAGAACTTGCTCAAAGACAAGTAGCTGGGCCTCCTTCATTAGCATACTATAGAACAGGCTCTGAAGTGAAACATGAGACCTGAGTTTGTAGCAGCTTGGATGAATGTGTTGCTATTTTGCCATGGGAAAGGTTTGAGCTTGTAGGAAACCCAGTGTTGTCATCTGGTCAGCTACTACTACATGTAGTTACATTAATCACTAATTGTGTAAGTGTATAAAGGGTGATTTGTAGATTGTGTGTACTGCTGATTGTAATATATTTTACAAGGAGATATGCAATGCATGAATA